GGCCTCCTCACAGCCCGCGGGGGAGCCCCAGGCCCGCGGTGGGGGCAAGGCACCGCTCGACTCGCGGTTCCCTCCTCTCCCCCCTGAAGTCCCTGAGAGGTCTGCGTGGTGGCTTTGGCGTGAGGAGCGATCGGTTTCCATAGAGCTCTGTCTGGAGCGAGGGGTTTTTATCCCTTCATGGGTTTGCCCCGTGCTGCTGCCTGTGCTTCTTGCCCTCTCCTGCCTGTCGGCGTTCAAAGCCAGGCTCGGATCTGCTCATAACCACAGTGTTGGTTTGCCTGTGACTTGACCACATTTGCCTCTAGTCCCTTGGCTCTAAAACCCACTGTAGTCTCGCTGCCCTCCCCGTTTTAAAGCAGTCCTCCGGCAGCCCGCGTCTTAGCGGCTGGGGTTCGTTACCCATCCTCGCTGACGGAGCTGTGGATTTTTGAGATGTTTCTGCTCTGGGTGACCAGGCTGCTCTTCCTTCAGAAATTGCCACAGCAGAAAGAGCGGGAGTAAGGGTGTGCCTGCTGCTGCGGGAGGTAGCTTGGACTGGGCAGCCAGGCTGGGAAGCGGAGCCTGAGGCCAGGCTGGGGTCTGCAGTGTCTGGCGTTCCCGCACCAGACAATGCAGAGGCAGCCAGCATTTGAAGGAAAACGGAGCGTTGCAGGCACCAGATAGGCTCGCAGGTTTTCGGTTTTCCGAGTCCCCCAAGATACACGTGCAAGATGCTCAAGAGAGATTTCTCAGTGCTTCTCCAAATGTTGCTCGGCTGACGTGCGCGTGCCGCTCTTCATCGTGCTGGTTTTGATGCAGGGCTCGTGTTTTGCAGACAATGAGTGGAAATGAGGACGACTGGCTGGCTCTCAAACCTCAGGAACCTTCTCCATCCCAGTGCTGCGGCAGCGGCTGCAAGCCCTGCATCTATGATGTGTATGAGAAGGAGCTTGCACAATGGGAAAGGGCCAAAGCAAAGCAAGACAAAAGCCTCCTCGTGGAAAAGAAGGACCAGGTCAATTTATCGTCATCACATCCTAGAGCCAGCACTTTGATCGCACTTGTTAGCATGTGGGGTTGTGGGGATGGGTGAGGGATGCAGCAATAGATTAAAGCGGTGTCTTAAGACAAGGCTGTAAACGCAATTCCCCAAACTCTGCCTTCACAGCCGCCCTCCCCCTCGCCCCTCTCTCCATGCTGTAATGTGATTTTCCAAGTGTCGAGTTCGCCCTGGTGTCGCGTTACAGCCCTGGGTCCGCACCTTCCCCTTGCTGGGATACCCCGGGCAGCCAGAGCCAGCCTCTCTGGAAAGGGGGACTAGGCGAAAGGTACAAAGAATCTCAATTCTCTCTGACGCTTTCCTCGGAGGAGCTCCATTTTCCTGACCTTTTCCATCTTTTCCTGTTTTTTAGAACCCTGTTTTGATGATTAAAAAAAAGCTGCATTGTGCGTGGTGGAGTAGTTGTCTTCAGAGCGTAATTTTAAGCCTGTCAGTGCCCTTTTACATAAGATTAACTGTGCTGGGTCAAGCAAAAATGATCAGTGCTGAAGCTGCTAACTGTATTTCCTATTCGCAGTGGTCATCAGTCGGTTTCAAAGTTGCCCCCAAAGCAGCGCTCAGCTCTTTTGGCAGTATTATTTCTGTTTGTTCCCAGACATGAGAAAATGATTGCAGTGAGTCATAATAGGATGACCTTGCTGGAAGGTGTAAAAATGTAATTTAAAGGGCGGTGGGGTGGGGGGAATGTAAGATCCCAAAGTGTGTGCCGCAGAACATGATAATGAATCAGCAGAGAGCTGAAATTTGCGCTGGGCCTCAGCATTTAATACACGTTCTTCTGGAGTCCTGAGTATCTCTGGCACTAAATTAGCACACGCGTTTGCTTCCAAAGAAAAATGAAATAATAAAAGACACCATCTAACCAAGTAATTATTTATTGTTGTTCTTGCAGAGCAATAATTCAGAACTGAATCCAGATACATTTACTGCATTCAACATAAGCTCGGTGGAGCAGCTAACAGAGGACACCTACCAGTACAAATTTGAATTACCGGGAAATAGCAGTCTGCGATTGAGTTTAGGACAACATATCGTGTTAAGGTATTGTTCTCTGTGCTAGTTAAACAGTCTGCATTATGTAACCTAATACGTAGGTTTTTGTCAATAGACAAAGGCTTCATACCAGGCAAATCATAATTTCTATACCTCCGCAATGACACAGATGAAAGAACTTGTGAGCTCGCTGGCTCTGCTAATTTTATGGTAAAAGCCGTTCCAAAGCTGTATTTTTCTTCAGCATTATCCTTGCATTGGTGGGTCAGAAAGAACTAGGTGTGATTAAGAAAATCCATTTGCAGAAAGAAAGACTCAAAGAATAGATGTTACAACAGCTGATTTACTCCAGCATGTTGGATTGAAAACCATGAGCAGCACTTACCCCAGAGCTCGGTATTTTAGGTCCTGTATCTAGGGGTAACTCCACACCTGGGGTGTTACCCCAGGGGTCCAGGCGTTTCCTGACTGATTTCTAACAAAACAACCCTCCTGTGTAGTTTTTTGCTTGCCAGAAAAGGGCCTCTTGGGAAAAGTTTATGTCTCTCTCAGCCATCTGTGGTGATCATTGCCAGATAGAAGTCAGGTTATGATGCCATTGATCTGTATCTGTTAACGTTGTTTGTACGTTAACAGCTGATGTGTACAGCTGGCTGGCTGCTGACAGCACAGGCTTCTCCCTTCAGCCATCTCTCATAATGCAGCAGAGGAAAAGGTTCGGTCACTTCAATCAATTACCGTAGTCAGTAGTAAAGGGCAGGGTGGATATATTCTATGCAGGGAGAAGAGTTACAGGAAAATACAGTGTATATTGACAAGAACTCAGGTCAAGGCTGTGCCATGGCTTTCATTATTTAATTACCAGATGCTGCTCAAACACAGAAAGGGAAGCGGACCCCAGCCCAAAGGGGACAGCAAACTTAACCATGAAAGCATTTTCTCTCCCCTTTGCTGCTCTTATACATTTGGCTGTTTCTCACAAAACGGCTCCAACATCCTTCTGGGGATGTGTCCAAGAGCTGAATGTGCGGTACAGCTGAGGCCACCACCGGGAAAAGAAAAGGTGCATTTAGCTGTTATGTTCCCCCTGGATTTTTACCTGTGGAAGGGAAAGGTTTTGCATCTGTGCACGGGCTGGGCCGCTGGGAAGAGGACCTGCTGCCTCCCTCGTCTCCCCGCAGAGCTGCTGCAGTGTGGAAATACCAGCCAATGACCCCAGTCACAGTGGGTTCCTCTGTTTCTCTCCTCAGAGGAGTGGTGAACGGTTTGGAGGTCCAGCGAGCCTATACTCCAATTAGCCCAGGGAATGCAGAAGGGTACTTTGAAGTTTTAATGAAAGTAAGTAAGCCTGTACGATATGGATTACAGTCTAAGGTGCCGAGGACTGTGTTTTCTTTAGGAACCAAGCGCGCTGTCAGCAATTCAAGTGAGACTTTCTCAAATCCCTGATGGACTGTTTCTGTGTTGTTTTGAGGCAGTTGTGCTTTGCTGATAAAAATTGTGGTTTTTCCCACAAAACTGAAAGCAGAGGAAGGTGACACCCAAACAAGCTTTGCAGCGTAAGCCTTGGTAAGCACTTGGGAGAGCCTCTCCCTCTTGGGAGCCCTGCACTCCGCAGCGCGGAAGGAGGTGCACATTCCACTTCCCCGATTTCATTTTGCTTTTTCAGTGTCCTTGGAGTTGCACCCAGTTGTCAGCCCAGTTGAACCGCTGACTTTGGGAAGTCCGTGGCCAGCCATTACCCTCCCCGCGGTATTTTACTTTAAGAACGCTCCTCAGAAAAATTTTTCAGTTTGATTAAAAGGCCCACAGGCACAGGCTGCATCTATTGAGGTGCCTGGGGTGGCAGAGCCCTGTTTTGGATGAGTGTCCTGGCCCATCTGGAGGCCACCACAAAATGCTGGTCGAGGTCAAAAGGATTTTAAAGGAGAACTTGGCTGGAAATTTGTCTGAATAAAGTCTGCAGGGCCCTCATAGATGATTACTTTGTGTGGAGAACATTGAATTGAAGAAAATTTTTCCGATACTGCATTGGTACGTCACTAGCGATTCCTCAGGACAGACACAGGCTTCAGTATAGGTGTGAAATTCAGTGCTGGGCATCCCGGGTGGCTTGCGGAGAATGACCACTTGTCCCCTGCCTGTCTTCCAGGATTTCACTTTTTGGGGGTTTGTTATGCATTATACGTTCGAACACAAACCCTGTTCTTTAGAAAAGTGTACAGCTTCTATAGGACGCCTGTGGGAGGGTCATTTCACCATTCTTGTGGCAATTGGTGTGTGGTACGGGAGAGAAATGCTGCATTTGAGCTGCATTAATAGGATACGTTCAGAGGATGACTGTGAAATTTCATGTATACTTGCTTATTACTCACAGGTTTTGCATTTCAATAATAATAGTAATGATTGTAATGATACCTTTCCTTTATATAGAACCTTTCATCCCAAAGGGAGCTATAGTTATTCTCTGGCAGTGACAAAAGAGGTTGGTAACACCCAGTGTAAAGCAGCCATTTTTATAACTCACTCTGTAGGTTGTGGTATATTTCACACTATTCAGGCAATTTTGGAAAGTACTATATTATTATTATTACTATGCAATCCAAGCACTGTTCAAACCCTTCTGTCTCCTGTTATTATAGCATTGCATTTGTGATACTACAGTTAAGAGTGAGGGAGTTGCCATTTACAGAGCGTAACCCTCTTTTTGAGTGATTTTATAATGTTAGGGTTTCTCTCCGTGTAAAACTGGGTGTAGAAGTTTTCCCCAGGAGATAATTATTTTTTTCCTTTTATTTAGAAAAAATAATTTTAAACCCACTCAGTCTTTTATCACTTCAATTTTTTGGAAATAATTTTGGTGAAAGGAGGATTGTTTTAGTATCCTTTACCCTGGTCCATTGGGAGTAGGCAGTAAGTGGGGCTGACTTTTCTGCTCTTGCCTTGGGTTTCTGTATATATTTGAAGAAGATCGGTGTGCAGTACTGCTCCTTTGGTGCAACTGGACACTCTTTGCATGAGAGTTAGTACCTGCCCACAGCTCTCTGAACGTAAAATGTTTCTGGCAGTAACTCAGAGCCTGGATGTGTGCAACTTGTGCATTTACCTTTTGAATGTAACAACTGGCGCTAGTAGTTCTTAAAACTTCAGATACCTTCTTTCAGTGAGGTTGTTAGGAGGGAAGGAGCATCTGTGTTCTTTATTAGCTAACACTGCTTGCAAGCACAAGCGCACGCTCACTCACTCGCTTTTTCTTAGCTTCTTTGTGGTTCACCAGTTTTGCTTGCCTGCAGTGCAGCTTGGTGGCCAGCCAAGGCACTGGGGCGTGGAGCTGGGCTTCCGTCCAACGTGCGTGCAGAAAATACCCCAAAATACGTTGCTTTCACATGGGCTGGAGTCTCCGAAGGCTTATATCACATCTCGTCTCTTGACCTCTGGTTGCATTGCTCTTCCTCAGGCTTATCAGTGGCATTGCCTCTGAGCGAGACCAGTTGCCTGCTGCAGCTGGTGGGCTCATCCGCTCTTGCTTTTTGGACCAGCCCTTGTCCTCCAGCCAGATCCCATGGACTGTGGCCGTTCTTCTGTGCACGTTTGTTCTCATTAACCGTAAAGAGGTCATGCGTATAGGACATACGTACACATGTAGCACATAGCAATGAGACTGCTTGGACGAGCCCTCGTTTTCCAGCCTCTCCTTGCCTCTCTGTTTCCAGCAAGCTCTGCCTCTTCCTCATCAGTCACGAGCAAGGTTAGCTTTCCTGCAGGCAAAATCCTAGATGATAATGTGTGTGCCTGGTAGAAAGTAAGGCAGATTTTGCTAATGTTTTTCTTCCGGGAGGCCCAAATTGACATAGTGTGAAGGTATCCCTTAGCATCCAGATGATCTGTTCTGAAAACAGGAGTTTTATAAATGAGAAACCTGACTTTGGGTGTCTCTAATTGTATCAACACGGCGTCTGAGAGGCTGAAATGGAGCAAGAGCTATGCAGTGTTTGTAGAACTATTGGTACCCAGAGGGCGTTTCCAGACCCCGTACCCTGAGGTTTGGAGAACACTTGAAGGCTTGGACTGTGCTTTGCATTCAAGACACTCTTCTCTGCGTGCTTTGTAAGCAAGAACTCTGATGAGCTTTTTCCAGTTTTGGAAATTCAGACTGCATGAGAGTGGGCTGTGTTTACGCTATAGTGAAGCTGGAATGGATCCAATATGATTTAATTTAAATGTCTTTGTTTTGGGTATAACTTTGAGTTATTTTTCAAATAGAATGATCTTTCTTTCTTTTTAAAGGCAGAAAATGTTTTTTTGCCCCCTTCTTGTTTAAATGTAGATAACTTTATAATTGACTTTAAGCCGGGAAACTTTCCAACAGAGTATAATTATTCTTTTCTTTTGTGCAATGTTTTTTATTAGTGCTATGAAGCTGGGCTAATGTCACAATACATAAAAACTTGGAAAAAAGGAGACATGGTATTTTGGCGTGGGCCGTTTGGAGGCTTCCCATATCGACCTAATAAGGTTAGTTCCCTCAGAGACATAGGATGTTTCAGCTGTGGCAGCTAGTTTTGCTTAATACTCTAAAGGGAAGACATCAATTTGATTACTGTTTTCATGATTATTTTAGGGACTTCCTGGGTTACTGTACGGTGCTACAGCATTAGCAGTCAGTTGGAGAAATTATGCCTTATTGAACTGCAGAATATTTAAGAAGGAAGAGGAGACTGGAAAGTATTAGCCAGGCACTCTGTTCATCACTTGCATTAGAAGCTCCTGGTGTTTTTAACAAAAGGAACTCATTTTGCACCAGCAATGAGTACGGATCGGTTTTGGGCTTGTTAGAACCCCATTGCTGTTTTGTGACTGAGCACGAGCGAAGGAGAGGTGTTGATCTTTTTCTCTCTTGGGTATTCCCTGAACTGCAGCAGCTCCAGTGAGGTGTCTCGTCACCCAGCCACTCTGCAAATGTTGATCCCACCTGCTGATACCAGGCTCGCTGCAAAGAAAGGCAGATCCAGTTTCGTGGGAAGGCTTCTCACACATACTAATTTGGTTACTTAATTCTGACCTTTCAAATGAGGAGCAAAATTGAAACACTGGTTATTAAGAGCCCAATGCCTTGGTTTTTCTTCTCCACCCCACCCCCCAAAATAAGGCTGTACAATCCCCAGTGGCCAAACTCCATGCAGAGCAATTGTGTTCTGCTTCCTGAAATATGCTCGTTGCTGTTTTAGGCTACTGTTCCCTTCCAGACAATGATTTGGACACAACATGGCAGTCATGCCTGGAAGTGGCTGTGTTCATGCAGTTTGCAAGGCACCTGAACAGTCTTTAAAACAACTTTCTGTAGAAGAACTGTTTGTTATTATAACAGAGGTCTCAAATATTAGTTTCATAGAAAAATGAAAATTTTCTTTTATCTCTATTTGCTGCCAGTAGAATAGGATTCAGATTCAGACGGATCAGATCATTCGCAATAAACTGCCCAGTCAAAGCAGAGCACAGGCAGCCTCTGGGCACTAAATAGGGGCTTAAGTCCCAGTTCTGGCATTGATATACTGGCTGGCAGCTGCAGAAAGCACTGGGAACCTTCTGTCCTCCTATGCACAGCACCTTACTGCCTGAAAATCCCTGCTGCGAGTAAAGTGGATCTTCCCCCCTTGCAGGTGGGAAGCTCTGTGTGCTGCTGGTAGCTCTTCGAGAGAAGTGAGGTAATGCACCAGGAAGATACGTGGATCGGGATGGAGAAGAAACCATTTCCTTCAGAGAACAGTCAGGATTGTACTTTGCAGCATCAAAGATAAACACAGGGAGCATTTTCAGTGGGAAAACAACACACAGTGGGTTAGCAAAGTGTGCTGCAGAATTGAAACTGAAATATAAATTAATTGAAATCAAGGCTAACGTTAGGATAAATGGTGGTACCTGGGTAAAATCCAGTTTCATTAGATTTAATATATATACCCTGAAAGTGTATTCTGTAATCCTTTGCAGAAAAATACATTCTGATATTTGAATTTACTAATTCGTGACCTTCTGATATGTTTTCTCTCAAGGCACGCTTTACCAGAGTGGCAGCAGGGAGGAACTGACCATGAGCACATCCGTTTCCAGTCACCACAGCTCACTCAAAATTCTCTGTTTTGTTGTTAGCATGGAGAGCTCCTCATGCTGGCATCTGGTACCGGCCTTGCACCAATGCTTCCCATCCTCCGGTCCATAACAGAGGATGAAGAGGATGAAACCTTTGTAACTCTTGTTGGCTGCTTCCGTACGTTTGACAAAATTTATTTGAAACCTCTTCTCCAGGATCTGGCTCGATACTGGAACATCAGAATATTTTATGTCCTCAGCCAGGTAAATGAATGGATAGGAAGCGAGTTTGTGTGAGGGTTCTGTGTGCTGGATGAGTCTCTACATCCTCTGCTTTTCCATCAGGTGATCTTAATTCTTTCCCAGTCCCTGAGGCTATTTTGTGATCCGGTAGCTGCTGTTCTTGAATCTGCTGCGTGTTCTCACACTGCTACCAGTCTGGAGAATCTCAGGGAAGCAGCCATCGCTGCTTGTCCCTCTTTACCTCCTTGGTAGCTGTTCTGTTGGCGTGGACCCTCTGATTCATAGTCGCTGTTACTCATTCCCTCCCGCTTCAGGTGGTGGTTGCTGCACCTAAACCTTTGTGAGAAGAAAACTTAGACTCTGGGAGACTCACAGCAAATAAACTATTTCTTCTTTTCTAATACCCGTGCCTTAATCTGTCCTTATTTTCCACTCATTGCTCGTGGCTAGAGCTCTCTTGTAGTGTGTTAGCACCAACTTCCCAGCAATTATCTTTCCCAGCTGACCCATTTTTAAACTTCTTAAAGTTGTTTCCCCCTCTGTAAAAGTTATCTTTTTCTGCCAAATCCCTGGGATGAGGGCATACCTCTCAGTGATCTTACATTTTGAGAAGTCTTTTTCATTTCCATTTGGTCCCAAAGTTGCCTGTGTTCTGCATGGATTTGGTAGTTGAAAATTATTTCCCTCAGAAAAGAGGATTCATTGCAGGGAGGATATAGAAAGAATTATTTATGCTAAGGGAATGAATCCCATTTCATTTTTAGTTTCTCAGATGAAACATTTTTTGTATCTCATGGTGGGTCTGCCTCATATATTGCGTTCCACATATGGCCTCAGCAAGGTGAGATTGGGTATAGAGAAAAATACTTGTGATTTAGGCACCTCCTCAGCTACATTATAGGAGCGTAACTGGCAATTGTCTCTGGTGACATAGCTTAAATACCCTTTTCAGGACAGTGCTGTCTCAAGAGTGTGAGGAGGTCTTGAAATTCAATCAGTGAAGGGCAAGAAACCCACCTGACCCCTGTCAGCACTGTCTGCCCCGCAAGTACATCTCTCCCTTTCTTCTCTTCTCTTAGCAGCTTTGTTGTGGTCCAGCACTGACTCGTACATCATCCCTTTTAGGATTATATATCTGTCTGTCTCAGTATTTCACTCTGCTGCCTGTCACCACCGCATCTGAGCACCTTCTGGTTCCAATTAACAGCAGCAGGGGAGTCCCCGCTGGATCTAATGCCACGGGATCTGATACTTCTCGTGGGATGATGTGTTTGGAGCAGGGCTGTCTCCTTTCAGTTTTGGTTGAGGGAGATGGGACTGAAAGAGACTTGGGAATGGGAGAGGCAATAGAGAGGAACAGACTTGGGACTTAGGACTTGGGAGTAGAAAAGGCACACTGGGAAGTGGTTCTCAAAGGAGGAGGTTCTGCAGCATTTATTAGTGATGGTTGTGCTCTGATTTTGTTCAGTCCCCTCTGAGTGAGTGGCCAGGTCCTGGGGCAGGGAAGGATTTGGTCTGGGCTTTGGAAGAGGAACGCAGCTCTCGGGAAGGGTCAGTTCTACCCAGACAGAATCACAAGGGTGAAAACCGTCCTGTGCGGTGTTCTGAGGGGAGGAGGGAGTTTCGGCTGTAAGCAGTCGGTTGTCCTTTTTAACGTGGCACACTGCAAACCTTTTGCCTTTTCAGGAAACTTCACTGGAAAAACTTCCTTGGAGCTATCGGGAAAACACACACACCGGTCGTCTCGGTGAAGACTTGATGAAGACGATAGTAAATTCCTGTCGAAGGCGGCCGTTTGTATTAATCTGTGGCTCTTCTGCGTTCAGTGAAGATATGAGTAGATACTTGAAAGCTGCAGGAATTGAAGAAAATTCCTGTTTTGTCTTTTAGCAAGAGGAACCTTAGGCTGAGTATTGGACATCCTTGTTTCTCTGCAGACATTGCTCAAAATGGGTCATCTCAATAGACTGAGTTCCTTGTGCGTGTACTTTCATAGCCCTTTGGATCAAATGTTTGTATCTGGTATGAGTCTCCCTCTTGAGAGTGTTTTAAGGATCGGGTGCCGCTCCAGAGTGACTGCTACGATCACCGACCTCAGGGAACAGCGTGGTCATGTTAGTGGAAGTCTTCTCAGGCAGTTTGGAGAGACATCTTCTAAGGCTACTAAAAAGCATCCAAGTACACAGCTCTGCTGTAATGTGAAGACCAGTGACTGGCTTTGCAATCCATGCTAGTCTGCAGTGGTGGTGTGCCCTGTTAGCTGTCCAGAGAAGGGACTTAGTTCTCGAGGAGAAAAAATGGTGGCCAAAGGAACAGCAGAGCACTGGCCGGGCACTCTGGAGTCCACGGCATTCGCTTTGATACTGTCGTTACCTCGCTGGGTGGTGCCAGGCGAGTCACTGAACCTCTCTGTGCCTCGGTTGCCCCATTATACACCAGTCCAGAGAAGAAGGTACCAATCTCCTCTGGAAAGATCCTTTCCAGCCACATACAGCAAAGACTACACACGGGTATGGAATCGTATGTGATGCTCAGTGAGGACTTATGCACGCTGTCCTCCTGCCCTAGCACAGCCTGCATTGCCTACCCTGATCCTTAACCCTTGAAATGCTGCCTGGGGAGAGAAAGAGCGCGTCCTAAAACTCTGCGCGAGAGAGCATCCGGGTGGTAGCTGCTGCCTGTCAGGGAGGATGGTGGTTTGCTTTCCACGTCCTCCAGGTGTTGTATAACAGCCCTGGTTCATTAAATGGGACCTCTTTTCAAATAAAGAGCTGTTTCTTTTTGTCGCAGGACTCTCACGGGTGCCCAAGGGGTGCCCTCAGCCGGCGAGAACACCACCTGAGGAATGAAAGCCTCACAGGGCTTTGCTGGGCCCCCTTTGGGAATCCCTGCTTCGCGATGGCAGCCCTGCGGCTGCCCTGGCACAGCACCCGGCCTGGGCACCCGGGCCCCTTCCTCCTCTCCCAGTCCAAGATGCTGCTGTCTTTCCTCTGAGATATCTGCTGTCTGCTCTCTTACCTTCTTAGACCACTGTGTTTACTAACTACACCTGGAAATACAGCCTTCCTGCACACCTTTGTGTTTTTCTGTTCATTCCCAATTCATCCTGTGTTGGGGTTTCCCAGGCTGTGACAGATGATGTTATGTTATCATCCCTGTCTCATTTTTCACCTGTGTCAAATAGCACACCTTACACAAAGGAGATGTAGTTGAAGAATTGCTCAAAATATAAAATGACGGCTCTGATTCACATGCTGGGAGGAAGCGTAGGTTCCCCTCGCATCAATGAGATTTGTCTGCGGTTACCAAACGCCTGGAATTAATCCAGTGGAGCTGCAGCTTTTATGTTAAATTCATCAGAGCGAGGGCTGACAATAAAGCCATCTTCGTAACCCAAAATAGGGTTCTGGCTTTTAACGCGGAGAGCTCCAGGGAAGCTGTCCATCGCAGGTCCAAGGCCAGCTCTCAACTCCCGTCCAAACCGTGTTTCAGCTGCTGTAAGCCGCTGCGTAGTGGCGGTGCTTCTGCACAGTGGGAGGCTGGTAAGGTGAGGAGTTGCGTTCTCTGGTTGCTCTCCCTGCTTTGGCCTTAGCTGGGAGCATGGAGAAAATATTTTCCTCAGGTATCACATACTCTGAAAACCTTGCTTATGTACCTCTTGCTTTAAATACTCTGCCTTTCTGAGATTCTGCTAAAAATCCACCCAGCCTTTTTGCAAAGGCCTGAGGTAAAAACTTCACGCTCGCTTCGGAAAAAGCGACAACTTTCCGCGCGAAAGCCGGGGCTGTTCCTTTAAGCGCAACCCCAATATGTCTGGGTATTTCAGCACATATGGGCCACCATGGTTAAACCCTACCCAGCTGGTCTGGCCGTTCTGCCGCGAAGCCTCCCGTCTTTGTTCGTGGCTGAAAGGGAGGGTGGTGAGAGACGGCGCAGGCTGTGTGTGCTGCGGGTTGCAATCCTGCAAAGGCGGGCTGCGGGCTGAGCGGGAGGAGGTGATGTGTGCCGTGCCGGCAGCCCGGCTCGCCGCGCCGGAGGGGACGGGGGTCTCTGTGAGACGTTCTCCGTGGGGGAGACGATGTCCTTGAGCGTCTGAACTCGGAAGGGGCCTTAAAACCACGCGTGGGCACTTTGTTCTCTGTTTTCTGCGCTTCGCTCCCTTCTCCCTCCTGCCTTTTGTCATTTCTCAGGCTGCCTCTCGCACGAGTCCCCTCTTCCCGCCCTGTCCCCCTTTCAGAGGCTTGCGTGGTGCTTCTGCCAGGCAGGGACCTGGCGTGGAAACGCTCTCGGGCAGGATTTTCCCTACCGAGGGAAGAGGAGAGGTTTCCTTCCCTTTGGAGGCCTGGGAATCGCCCCGCGGCTGCGGTTTTGTAGGGAAGCGGTGGTGATGCTGTCGGTGATGGGGGGATCTGTGGAGCTGGGGGTGTGTGAGCTCCCCGCAGGGGGGGGCGGCCGCTGCCCTGCCTTTCTTCTTCCTCGTGTGCAGCCTCAATACCTTCTTAATTTCATCTCATTATTTCCTGCCTAAATAATTCCCATTTCTCCTGGGGACCGCGTTTAAACCTTTGATCTTCTCTGAAGTCTCAAAGTCCTGATCACATCCTTTCTATTTAAATGAATCAAATGCCTTTTTGACTGATGATTTATAAATCTGCCCACAGAGGAACAGAGGGAGCTCCAAGACAGCACACCTCAAAATCGCCCACCGTGTCTCTGGCCGGAGCCGAAGCACCCCGTGGGCTGATCCAGAGCACCTCAGGCCTGAGCTCCGTGCCTGGCTCCGCTTCCCTGCCGCGTCTCGTCCGCCCCTGCCTCCCTCCACCCGGCTCCGCTGGCTGACCAGCGGCATTGACCGGGCACAGGCCCAGCCGGGGAACGGCCGTCCCCAGGTCAGGAGAGGGTGAATGTGCCGGCGGTTGATGGATGCCGTCTCCCGGGAGCGGGACACAGCTGCTGCGCTGCACAGCCCCGGCCTCCCTGTCTCCTGGGGTATCGCCCGTGCGGAGCGCAGCTGGAGGGCTGG